TTTTCTTTCTTTCTTTCTCTTTCTTTCTTTCTTTCTTTCTTTCTTTCTTTCTTTCTTTCTTTCTTTCTTTCTTTCTTTCTTTTCTTCCTTTCTTCCTTTTCTTTCTTTTTCTTTCTGTCTCTCATATCTGCCAAGGTATCTCTCCCATGACTTTAACTTGGAGTTTAAATCCTAAGCAGCCATTAGCAAATGTGCTAAGTGACTGTTTCTAAATAGATAGGTTTATTTGTGTGACTGGTGGACTCAAATCTGTATCCTCCATTAGCCTTATAAATTCCTGACTAGAGACAAGAGCCAGATTTTGCTCACTATGACCCAATCCAATATCTTGGAAGAAGCAGGGACTCAATAAATATATGTTGTTCTGAGTCATTTTAATCAAGCCCTTTTAAAATCAAACCTTAAAGACACAAGGGAATAAATGTCTTTTAATGGTTTTTCAAACATTGTGACAGTGAACCAGAGGAAATTTTTTTGAGATTAAAAGAGTTTTTATTGAAAATAAGGAGAAAGAGAATAGCTTGTGGATTTCCAGGAAGGTTCCCAAATGGGGTGGCCACATGGCCCATCTAATCTGGAGCTAATTATAGATAAATAGAGCACAGGAATTGCTCGATTGTTTGGTGGCTCTGTGGATTTAAAATGACCAACTGGGACTCAGGCTTTTAACCCAGTTCTTTGACACGTAGTGTTTACAGAAAACTAGAGAAATATTTTTGAATGTGAAGGTCTGTTCTACATTTCTTAAATTATGCTGGAAGCTCTTTAGTTTGCTGGAATGTAACATTCCTTTCAGTTCCTCCTGTTGCAATTAGACATATCCATGTAAAGTCTTGTCTGACCATGTGTATTTCATGCTCTAAGAGTCCCAGTGGCCTCTGTTAAATGTAGTGCAACAAAGCCTTCAGCCTAGGCTTTTCAACCTAGTAACCCCACTACTTCCCTCTCTTCTCACATTCTTGACCCAAATGACCTTATTGTTTCCACCAAATGCACTTTCTGTTTCCCTGCCTTTACTTTATCACCTAGGTTGTACCCTCTACTGGAAAGACTTCTTATATCCTCACCCTGTAAGAGTTCTACCCATCCTCTGAAGCCATTTTCAAAACACTTTCTTTCCAGGGAGATTTTCTGTGTTGATAATTGCTTTCTTTGAAACTTACATCTCCATCTTCCTCATTCTTACAGCACTTCCCATACTTTGCTCTGTCAATATTGGCATTATTTCTCTCTCCTCTCTGAAACCCAAAAAGTGCAGGTCTCCCAGGGTCATAACTGTGTGTATGATCTTCATGCTTCATGATTGCCATCTAATGTACTTTAAAGGATAGCAAATATTTTTCTCAGTGAAAATATTTACTTGTACATGTTACTGGTACATATTTTTTTGAATGAGACTGAAGTGAATTGAATTGTAACAGACAAAAACAGACAAACCCTTGTGCTAAAAGAGTGGCAACATCTTCTTCCCTCTGACAGAGAAAATTTAGACTTACATCTTCAGATGCCTTATCAGTGTTTGAAAGAACTAGAACTATTTCCACAAACACAGTCTTGTTACTTTCATAACAATAGATTTTAAGATACAATTAACAGACTTTAACCCCATCGTAGAATACCTCAAATAAATTTCCATAAGGACAATGCTTTTTGCTGTTTATTGGATACTGTAAATCCTGAACATAAATTTTGCTATAACCTTACTAAATGATTTCAAATGAGATAATAAAATGTCATTGTCTCTTAACTTACTTATCTATGAAATACTGATATAGAATATACCTAGACCCCTAACCTTAGGTTGAGTAGAAAGTCTAACTGATTGTATGACACCATAATTTTGATAAGATTCATATGTTGAATTGAGTAAGTTTTGAATGTTTGGGGTGATTCATTTCTGACAGGTAAGCATATTATTTGGATTTTTAAACATAAAAGTAGGTTGGCCATCTTGAATTTATGAACTTAATCTATTATGAAGTTCAAGGAGTCAATTCCCCCAGTTTTTCCTCTGCCTTTTGGCTATTCTGTTCCTGATTTCTGGTTTACTTGGTACTGTTTGGGAAAAATAAGAAGAAATAAAATTCAAATCAGTCAATTATGCTGCTGCTATACAGCTCTAGTAAGTTTAGTGGAGGACAAATTATTGACCATAACCTGTACTTATAAGTATCTGTAGGTTTCAAGTGTCTATGATTTCAATTATCGGTTACCCTAGGGTAGAAATTCAGAGTTGGCAACATATTACTTTCATGGTGCAATAGATAATCAAGTGTTTTCCATGGAAACTATTGTTTGGATCAGTGTCTTAAGGTACCCATTACTACTTTATGTCAAATATAAGCAAGATTTTTTCTAAATTAAGAATATCTACTTTTTCCCCCTTTACTTTAGACAACTCGTGGCAGAAGAGGACATAAAGGCCCACAGGTCAGTGATTTTTTTTTCCTTAGATTCTTTTATTGGTACATTTTAAGTATACAATACATTTACATTTATCTTTGGATACTTGTACCTTTACATAATATATGTTGGTTCTTATTTTTTCTGCATTTCCTGTCATCCCATCAACCCCTCCACCCTTCCCTATTTACAAAGACTTTGTTTCCACTTTTTCCTTTTCTCATAATTTTTCCTTTCCATTTTTTCCTTTCCCCTACCCTTCCCACTTTCTCTACCCCATTGGAACTTTTCTTCCTATTTCTCACTGAATTATTCATTTTAATTATTATTTACACTTTCGGTTTCTCACACCAGAAAAACTATTCGGTATTTACACGTGTGTCCTATTAATTTCACATAAGAGTATGGCCTCAATATGCATCCATTTAGCTCTAAATGTCTCTAGTTTCTCATTCTTTATGGCTGAGTAGTACTCCATTTTATAAAAAAAACACATCTTTATCCAGTTTCCAAGCTTTAGCTATTAAACACTGTGCCGCTATAAACATGGGCACACATATATAGCTGTGGTATGATTCTTTTAATTCTTT